AGCTACTTTTCACCTGTTTGTTTTTTTGTGTGTGTGCAAATTTAAGATTTTTTCAGATAATTTCCACTTATTTGTGCTCATTTCTGCTTTTTTCATCAAACGTGTTCTTTCTGTTATCTGCTAACTTAGGCTTGTTCTACCTTTTCAGCTACCCTTTTAGCATTTTTTTTTAGCCCATTTCAGCTGTTTTCAGATCGTCAAGTTTTTCATTGTCATTTTTGCTACTTTCATCCTAATTAACTTATTTCTGCTATTTTCACCTTATTTCTGCTATCTTCAGATTTTTCCGCTATTTTAACTAATTTAGCTGTTTTATGCTAATTTTAACTTTTTTCATCCAATTCCACTTTTTTTTTAAGCTCATTTCAACTCATTCCACTTCCTTCTGGTAGTTGAAGCTTATTTCTGCCTTTTCAGCTACCGTACTTTTCAACTATGTTTCAATTCAATTTCAGCTTTTTTTTTTTTTTAATCTAATTTCCTCATTTTTGTGCTCATTTCTGCTTATTTAAACCTAATTCAGCAAATGTGTTCTGCTTTCTTCTCCTAATTTAGGCTTGTTCTTCCATTTCAGCTACATTTCAGGATGTTTTAGCTAATTCCAGGTGTTTTTCAGCAAGTGCTTCAGCAATAAGTATTCACACTGCATTTTCACAGGAGATGCAATTTCGCTAGTTAACCTTTCACGCTCTTAAACACTTCATATGCTCTTAAACACTTTGGCAATTGCGATGAAGATGATGACGATGAGATGAATGTACAGTAGTGCACACTTTATGAAAATCTGGGTTTAAAACACCCACACTATAGTGAAGCCGTAAAAAATAAACCACAATAGTTCGGGACAAGTGTAATGCAACACACCTGCCATATTTTATGCCAAAGTTTTAGACTATGATCCGTAAAATTGTTGAGTTTTCACTTATTACAAAAAGGGTGATCTCGGCTTTCATCAGTGAATAATAAAACTTATGACATCTTTCATAGTTCTTTGCTTAGTTGCAGCATAACCAAAACCACTTAGTAAAGTCAGCACTGCCTTGCCCAGTGCTTCTTGCAGAAAAAAACAACAATCCATCCTCGCATTCAAAAACGAAGAAGAAACTTATTTTCCTCTTGGCAGAAACTGGCGGCTGATACCTTTCTCTGATTGTCCTGGCAATGAAAATGTCTTTCCATCTCTTTTTGTTTTCCCGTTTATTTGAAGTTAAGACTATTCCTCGTTTCCTTTCCCTTCTTTCAGCCTCCCTGTCTAACTCATTAGTTAGTGGGCAGAGCTGCAATTAGCACAAAATAGTTTGAGAAGACGGTAAAGGAGGAGAGCTGGAAAGACTGAGGTAAACAAGAAAGAGAAGAGTTGAAAGAATGTGGTTGGAGAGACAATAATTAACGAAGCTACTGTAATTGCTAGGACCTGTTTATGCCAACTTTGAAGCACACACACACACACACACACACACACACACACACACACACACACAC